ACGGCTTTCAACGTCATAACTTCCTCAGCTTCCGCGTTCATGTCCTTACTGGCCGACGACTGTCTTACAAGTAACTAAAATCTAGACTTGTCATGCTTGTAACACCTCGGCACGGACAAGACAGAAATCACCTCTCTCAACAGTTACTGTATTCGTGTATCACACAGCTATCGCACGGACCGCGTAGAAAAAACCGCTTCTTAGTTACTAAACTGTTGCGTGTTACGAATCTGTTGTGGCTATTACCTAGCAACGGCTGTTGTATAGCTGCTTATTTCGCGGTCGTTGCCTAGTAACGGGTCTGAGTGCCATAATATTTTTTCCAGATCGGGTCTGGGGCCCAACTAATTTCTTGCACAATGGGTAGCGGGGGATATTTACCCGTAGGTAATGCAGCAGGAGCGTGATGCTGACCACTCATTTGCGCCTCAAGAAGTTAAGAATGGTGGTGCTATACCTCCACTCCCCATACGTCTTCATAGTGTGGTGTTTAATGAAGTAAGCGTAGGCATCTGTCGTTTGGAAATCCGTTACGCGATGGATTCATGTAAACTTTACAAAGAATTTTGTAGGGAATTCTGGAGCTTAATGTTATAGCAGAACATTTTATTACACGAAGGGATTTTTTTTTTTTGCGTCTTTGGCTTCAATCTCAGCGACTCTTCGCAATAAATTTCCCAGACACCTGCGATAAAATGTAAGAAATACTTCGAACGCAATGGAATGGAATGACGAACATCAGCCGTGTGACGATAAGGCTCCTCTGCTGAAACACACTAAGGCCCTAAAGATAAGGTGGGATTCCTGAGGCCCACAACGGGCTTCAGAAGTGACTGGCAATAACTTCTCAATTTTTTACGTTCTATATTCTGCCTACATATGAACCCCTCCTATCACCGTCGCCGTGAGAAATATCCACATTTCCATAATCACTATTTTATTCTCTCCCCACTTCTTTAGTCTGTTTATTCTTAATCACATTTCAGTTCTTACAGCGCCTTTGATATTGTCACGTGTATGGAGTGTGATTATAGATGGGTTTTGGATTGATGACTGGAATGAACTCTTACAACTCGTAACTCTCAATGTTCTATACACTTCACAGATCACTATAGGACACACTAGGTCTTCTCAGTCTGTTATAGTTTCCATTAGCCGTTGCTTGATAGCGGCTTCCAACGGCGAACGATCCCCTTCCTCTGGGTGCCCGAACTGTCCCCAGCCTCAGTTATCAGCTTCTGACAGAAACAACTCACAATGAATGTGTCCCAGCTGTTATCCAACCCCAAATTTTTAAACTTGTAATATATCGGACGGACACCACAGAAAACTCCGTTCTTCTGTTGCTGCTTTTGGGGACGCTGACTAGTAACTGCTGTTTTATAGTTGCTTATTTTCAGGTCGTTTCCTAGCAATGGGTCTACATCCCACAATATCTATATTTAAAAATGGAGATACAGCCGATATGAGGGAGGGAGAACTGTCTGAAGAAGATGCATAAATCGTGAAATATTAAAACTTGGCCAATTAAACATCGAAGAAAAGGAAGAGGAAGAACTATTTTTATGACTCAGAAAAGCCAGACACCTCTCAAATCGATTTCGATTTAAATTTATACGTTGAAAGATATTATTTAGATAAAATTATGATTCTGATCTATTTTACATACTTACTCTTCGGTTAAATTGTCCTCTAAGGATCTTGTCCTCCTCTGCAATAAATGCCCATTCTTTTATACTGTTTGCCTTTTGCCTCTACCGCTTCATTTTCAGTTCTCTTAAACAATTCTCTACATCTTTCAGCGCCTTCCCAATTTGTATTCCCATTCCATTTAATTATAATTTATCTAACTTCATAAATATACCTCTGCTTACTTATTATTGCTTTCAACCCTGAACATGGAGGCGGTACATCCCTCCGAAACTTATCTGCCGAGATACCTGGATCATTAACTGGTATATCATAGGTGGGGTTTCCGTAGTATAAGGTCGGTGAATTCTACCCGGCTACACGGAGTCACATCCCACAATATGGTATTCTTCATAGCCACGGCTGTGAGAACCTCAAACTCAACTTGGTAAAACAAATTTGTATTTGGGGCTCTGGGATAATTCGATTCACCAACTGAGTCAGTTAAGGTAATAATATAAACGCGCAGTACAAGGCAATTGCGTAATCAGTCGCCTCTTCTGTGATTAGATACGGCGCGAGTAGAGGCAGGTCAGTTCCTGGCCCTTGGAGACACATTCATCAGCCATTCCAGACATGAATACCACAAATATATTTTCTACATAGTTGGTTGAGGCACTATGCTACAAGCCAGAAGGTCGCGGGTTCAAGTCCCGATGAGGTGGATTTATTTTTTTCAATTTACCTAATCCTTCCAGTCGCACTATGGCCCAGTGGTCGACTCAGCCAATAACAGAAATGAGTACCAGGAATCTTCCTGGGGGCGCAAAGGGCGGCCGGCGGTTAAGGCTAACCTCACCGCCATCTGTGCGCCGATTGTCTAGAAGATGTGGGAGCCTCAACGTCTCACAACCTTATGGGCCTCCAAGGCCTCTTACAGGGATAGCTTTACCTTTTACCTTCTTTTTATTGCTAATGGGGTGGGAATAAGTCTCTGTACTGCGGCCACTTCTGGCCTACTGTACCAGCCCCAGATGGTAGGTGAGGGTGATTGTGGAGCAATTGGTGGAATGAAGATTGGCAGGAGAAAACGGAGTGCTCGGAGAAAACCTGCCCCAACGCCACTTTTTCCACCACGAATCCCACTTGACCAGACCCGGTATCGAACCCGGGCCGCCGTGGTGGGAAGCCAGTGACTAACCGCTTGGGCTATGGCGTGGCCTACCTTTTACCTTACACATATCCGTATACATACATAGAGATACAAGAACATACAAATGTAATTCCAAAAACTTTCTGTTATTCAGTGGTGCCGAAAGCTTGTAAATCCATCAAAATTTCTATATAGGATTTTTTTTCACAATCATAATATCTTCTCATATATACCACGTATATGAGAAAGAAAAACAAATATAAACTCTTCTAAATTCAGATAAAGGAAAAAAATAAAAAAGTGTTAATGTGAATAAAACAAACTAAATCCCAACTGCACGAGTATTCTCCTGGCATTCACTTAATATGTAACTAATGGACACATGCAATACAAACAGAGCAACAAGCGTCAAAATTTGACCCTTGACATATCGAAAAGGGAACAAACACGTAGTCATGGCTAATGAGCAGGAAGGGAACGTGTACAGATCTACCGTGGATCCATTCTCTGTCTCTCTCTCACACATGCACACACACACACACACACACACACACACACACACATTGATTTCATTTTTGTACAGAAAATTTCAGGGGGCACGCGGTAGCGTAGTTGGCTGAGGCTCTATGCTACAAATCGGAAGGTCGCGGGTTCGAATCTCGATTTTTCAATTGCCCTAATCCTTCTAGCCGCACTATAGCCCTGGGGTCGACTCAGCCTCTATCAGTAATGAGTAGCAAGGATTAAGTTATTTGAAAAATCCAATTACCTCATCGGGAATCGAACCGCCGACCTTCCGGCTTGTAGCATAGTGCTTCAACCAAACGTAAATAAGCCATTAAAAATATGAACCACGTAAAGGATATAAGTAAATGCAATATCCATTAACTGTGACCCATAATCGCATTATGCTGATCGATGCTTGTTACGTTAATGCAAATATATAAACACACTACTGTCACATGTCAAAGTTAGATGAGATTTGTTTCATACGAGGCTGGAAAATGTCACGTCACGGGACAACATGCATGGGGGCTGGGGGG